TCTCTTACTCAGACTATTTCGAAATAGCTACAAAACAATATTTGTATGGCGATGGATTCATCCGTGAATGCCTGACACGATATGCCAAATTGAACAACATACATATACCAGTGTATGCGCGTTTCTATTCGGTGCCAAACATAATTGCGAGATATATGAATAAAAGGATGAAATAAATGAAATTGTAGAAAAATGAAAAATAAATTGATATCGAACTTAGAAATAATAACAAATCGTACGTTCTATACCGATAATCAAAGGTTCAAGTGAATAATTCGTCTAATTAATATTTTAATAGTATCTAATAGAATAATTTTCTAATCCAACGATGCATTCGTTTGAGGTATAATAGGATTATTAAATTGATAATGAAGATTGTCAAGAGATTTATTAAAATTGACGATAATTAATCTGGTAAGTAAAATTCATTTGGAAGTATCGATTAAATTAATAATCATTTAATCAGTTTTTGATGTATTTCTTTAACACATTATTCACCAATCACGAATATAATCGTGTTTTCACGTGCGATTTTCAGTATAAAATCGTGTTAGTCATTGTTATAATATTGTTGCGTTGGATAATGTTTGCTTAATTTTGATATTACCAAATTTCTTGAATTCTTTATATTTTAATAATAGTTTTAATTTGTTCATTAACGTGACCGGTATTAAATGCATTATTTTTTGCATATATGTATTAAACAATCAACGATGTATGTAGTAATTATTTAATTGTAGAAAAAGCAAAAGGTGAATTGTCGAAATGGCATCAACAGGTTTAAAGAAACTATTTTGCGAATACACACGACCACAACACATGAAACGAACTTGTTCTCGAAATATTTTTTTCACCTCCAATCCTCCACCCTTCCAAACTCGCTTCAGGCTTCTCTATCTTTTTTATCATCACGACGAGTTAATAACTTTTCTCACTTTATTCATTGGATATTTAATTATCTTCTGCCGCGAAAAATATGTGTATACACACACATACACACACACATATATGTATATATATATATATATAATAAAATTTCCTGACAACTCGTTGCCATTTTATTTTTCATTTTGTTTGCTTCATTTTCCTATCAAGTTAATTTCTCGTTATTTTCCAATTTTTTTTTTTTTTTATTTTTTCCCTGACTCACTCTAAATTGATAAAAAAAGAAGGAAGATTCGAAAAAATAGAATAGTTTGATTTTTGCAAAGTGTATTTCGAAATAGAAACGAAATCGACTACGACCAGGTTGGTTAAAGCCAACCATGGAAGATTTTCACGGACACGTAGGAAGCATAATGTTTAACCTTAGTCTAGATTAAAGACGGTAAGAGAAGTATTTGCACGGCGTGCTTGTAGGGAACAACTGTACTAGCGTAGAATTTCTTCGTAACTGTAATTTTCACTCGAGTAAAGAGATTCGACGATTTTCTATTGATATTGTGAGAGGACAAAGGAAAGTTTTCTTCCTTATCTTCTTTTTTTGTTTTTTTTTTTTTTTTTTTTATGAAACGATAGTAAAAGTAAATTGACGAATCTCTATGTTGATTTATTTTGTCGCATTATATAAAATATATATTTTTAGATTAAAATCGAATATTTTTCTTGAAAATGATTATCTCTCAAACGAAGGAATATTTTCAATTAAATTGAATTGAAATGAAGAAAGAAAAAATAAGAGAAATGAATGGAAAAAGAAATGAATCAATGAAAAATTTACAAACGGAGAATCTTACGAAAAATTCGGAACAGTATATTTTATCTGCGATAACAAAAGAAAAAAAGAAAAAAAAAAAAAAAGAGAGAGAAAAAGAAAGAAAAGATAAAAAGAAAGAAACCGTGCTCATCTCGATTACCAATAAGATTTGAGAGATTAAAAGAAAGGACGTAGATAATTGTTCGAACCGCGAATGGAAGTAAAAGCGGTCGGACAATATCGCACGACGGGAATTTAATAAAGGTAGGAGTCTCATGGACGTTGCGTAGAACGTGGCTAAAAGAAATGGACGTGGAGCGTGTCCAGCATGCACAGAACCACCTTTTGGCCGTCTTTATCTTCCTTTTTCTGACAATTTTCTTTTCCACGAGCTTACTCCCTCTTCACTGTTACTTACCCAGACGTATTATCCTTTCTTTCTTTCCAACTCTTTCTCTTTTACACTTTCTCAACGAGGCTTCTTTCTCTCTTTTTATTAGAAATTCGTTCGACTTTTCTTTCTCTCTCTCTCTCTCTCTCTCTCTCTCTCTCCCTCTCTTTCTCTCTCTCTTTCTCTTTCTCTGTCTCTCTTTCTCTGTCTTTGCCTCTGTCTCTGTCTCCTTTTTTCTTAGCTTACATTACAGGATATACGGGATAAGCTTTTTAAATTGAGATACTTGAATATCTCGAAAACAAAGTATTTTCGAAAAAAGAAATAAAAAAAATTTGAAACAAAAATCGTTCTCTCCAAAAAATAACAACTTTTATCTGAAATATATTTTTTATTCAGCCTCTAATTTTCTACGATATTAAATATTGTTTAGAAAAAAAAACTTTCTATTGCCTTGCCTTGTATCGCTGGTTACAGGTAAATAATAACAGGTAGGCGAATAACAATTAACAATTGGCAACTGGCAACTAACAACTGGCAATTGGCTTTACTTTATATTATAAACGATTATAAAATATGAGTTATTATATTTATAAAATCAAAAAAATAATTAGACAAAGGAAACTGTAATATATAATATTTGTCATGAAACATATAACTATTATTATTAATTAAAAAGTGTTTCTTTTTTCTTTTGACGAGAATCCAAACAATTTCTCGAGGGTATATGTTCCATATAGTAATAAATGACCCTTCAGAGAAAGTCTAATAGACCGCTGCTAAGGGTCCGCATGGCTAAATGTTCCGGTACGGGATAAAATATAATATAAACTTTTTTCTATATTTTCCAGTTAGATGATTAATTGATATATATATAAATATATATATATATATATATATATATATATATATATATATATATATATATATAGATATATATATATATATAATATTTTACTCGTTTTATTTGTTATTTATATCCTCTATGAAAGAATTAAGCGAATGTCGCTGTATAGCAATAAGAAAGAACAAGTTGATAAATTAAAAAGACAATGTTGATAACTTGAAGACAATAAGTCGAAAATGATCCTGCGACCTGGGTCAATGATACGAAAATTTTATATAACTTCACCGATGGTTCACAATTTGAAAATTGCATTATAGATGATAGTATGCATCAAGTGATGATTTCACGATCATATTTCATTTTACATAAAACAATCACAATATCTATGGTTTAAATGAAAATAAATAATGCATTTAACAAAAATGTCAAGTGGTGCAATCGTATTTTTTTCAATGTATTATGGAATTCGAGAATATTGTTAATTGTGAAACGAAGCTCTGAAACATTTCAAATTAAAATGTAAATAATATAATCGATCTAGTAAGCAACAATATTTGATGATATTACAATGATCTGCTCGACTTTTGAAAATCGAATCAATAAAAACAAGCCGATGTTCATTACGAAAAAAAAAAAACTCCTACAAAAATAATACAATATTTTAAAATATTACATATCTTTGATCCTTAATTTATTTTACACTGTGCCACTATCGCGGAAACAATACACTTGATCTATATATCGATTATGCTCAATTGCTAAGACAGGTGATAAATATCATCAAGTTACCGACAATAAAAATAGAAATTTAATATTATCAATCGATAAGAAAGATATCTACTATGACCAAATATTACGTAATTGGTCGGTAAAGTAAAGAGTTACTTTTACTGACTATTTTTAATCCATTTTGCAAAACAAAATATTGTGCGTTTTTTTTAACTGGTTAGTAAGAATGATAACTATCACGTGCACGAAAAATCGAAGTAACCTGCAGATATCAATGAATCACAATTGAGTCTTGTTTCCGTTTTATTATCCTTTCTATGGCTTATGATCTTGACGTAGAAATAGAACTTGGCTGCTTTAGGATTAATTTATACTATCTTTCTCTTTTAGGCGTATATGACTTCAGCAACAGATATGATCAAACTATGAACTACGAATGCAATAGAAAAACAATATCCCCATTAACTTATAATCGATTCACGTATAATGTGACATTCGAGTTAGTTTTATAGAAATTTTTCTAATAAATATAATAATACATTTGATAAAAGCAAGAAAAAAAGCATATGACAAATTATAATTTTTCGAAGATAAATTAATCTAAGTGTTCGTAACTCGACGTTATTTCTAATTTTATCAAAATTTCAATTTATTATATATTTAACGTGTATTTTAAATTTTCCTACGAAAGGGAATAGATTTTAAAATTCGAGATAAATAAAAAAAAAAAAAAATAAAAAAAACAAAGAATGATTACCTTCGTCTCTTTATTTTTTTCTCTAAGTCGATAATACAGAAATCTCTCTATATATACCAATGATTTTACCGACGAAGAATTACTTAGGGTGAAACGTTTGAAACTTTACAATAGAAATTGTATGCATATAGAAGTTTGGTCCAGGGCGCCGGCGCCGTTCTATAAATAACAAGATAGCGGGGTGGTGAAATGGAATGAATAGAGAGAGGGGATAGATAGTCCGGGTCTACGGGGACCGGCGAAATCTTACGAAGAAAACGACGTACGCATGTACGACGACGCGGCAGTAGTAACGTCCGTGGCAGTGCGGTCGTTCTTTCGTGCGCCCTCATATAAACCCAAGATATAATACCATGCCATTTGATTTTACCCCTTTTCCCCTTTCCGGAATACGTTTAATGAGAAGTATATAGTGATTATAATCAAAAGAATAAAGAAGGTCGGCCTAAGATTTTAAAGGTTACAAAAATAAATAATAAAAACGAAGAATAAAACCGATATTGTGATGGTATAGGTTTTTTTTTATCAAGAAAGAGAAAAGAGAGAGAGAGAGAGAGAGAGAGAGAGAGAGAGAGAGAGAAAGAGAGAGAGGGGAAGAGATATAGAAAAAGAAAAAAGTAACGTGCAACAGAGGGAGAGACATCAGAAAAAGAGGGGAAGGTGTAGAAGGGGGAGGAAGTAATCAACTATGTGCCGGCGTTTCAAGGATCAAAAAAGGAGTTGGCCGCAGAGCGTCGTGCCTTGCGGCACCGGGACAACGCGTCTCAAGATCTGACTCTTCTTCGTTTTGAAGAATCGAACGAGCAAGCACGAATAAACAGAAATAAAGAGAAAGAGAGAGAGAGAGAAAAAAAAGAGAGCGAAAGAGAGAGAGAGAGAGAAAAGGAGAGTGTGTGTCTGTGCGTAAACGTAAAAGTGCCGGTAAAGAAGGGAGGAAAGGTGATTATATAAACGGGGTGATGCTCTCTCTCTGTTCAAGAAAATAAGTCGAAAGAACGGTGTGTTGTACCTCGAACGACGTCCATCTCGCCCCTGCTACGAGAGAAAGCGCCTAATTATATATCAACGTGCATCGCGCATGCGTAGAATTTACGAAATGTCGCGGGACGTAACGCACCCTCTCAACTCGCCAAAGAGTACTCTTGTAACGTGATCAAACGGGCTTATAAAATACATAATTTTTTATTTTTTCTTTATTTTTTTATATATATTTTTTTATTTTTTTTTTATTTTTTTTATTTATTTTTTTTTTTTTTATCAATCTAAACAAATATAATAGTAACTTTGAGAATCAAATTTTAATGATAGAATTTATGATACTCATTCATATCAAATAGAAAAAAAAGTTTCGTTAATAATTTTAATTCCATTAAAAGGACATCGTTATAATTATAAGTGTCATCGTCATTATTATCCGTATCATCATTATCGTCGTATTAACTTAAGGTGTTAATTTTTTACGATAGTAAACCAAGTAAAGATTTTCTCGAGAAAGGCCCTTAAGAGGGTGAAAAGGGTCGATAACGTTTCTAAGCATCGTTGCAGCCTGATAGGCACCTTCGTAGACGCGTTTGTAAACGTTCCTTACTACGAAAAAAATTGGCTCTCCACCATACAATATAATAATATCTATAGAATATATATATTTATATATATATATATATATATATATATATATATATATATATATATAGGTCAATACGAAATAGAACACAACTCACCGTGGGCTAGATGCCAAAGAAAATGTTAACTGACAATCGCGTTGTCTCGTAAATTCGAATGATTAGAAAATACGCGTTTCACAGTGTGAATCGGTTCATCGTGATCAATCTTCATCTATTAATAGTGTTTCCTCGATAACAGAAAATCAATTGGATAGGTGAAAAATATTAAATAAAAAAAAGGAAGAAAAATAAACGAAAAAATGAAAAAGAACGATAGGTAAAATTTCGTTTTTCTCGACAGATTCACGTCTACGATGGCTTTAGTTATGCTTCCTTGCGATCTACCATGGTGGCCAGCTGTGGTAAAACAATTAGACAGGGCAGCGCTCGCCAAAAACTCCACGGATCTTTTGGACGCGATGCAGAGATTGCACGACATGTGCAAGTAAGCGTGACATTTTACGCATCTTATTGTATTACGTTACGTAGCGTTAAGTAAAAACACAAAATTATAGATAGAAGGACATATAAGTGTGTGTCACGTCCACGTGTATAGATATTTTATTGTATTATTTAAAAATGATTTCAAACATACGGCAATGAATGAAAGAAAAAGAAAAAGGAAAAGACGAAAAAGAAATGATTTTCTCTTGTCTCTGATTTATAATAATATTTCTGTTTGACATAGTTGCAAAATTAACTCGTTGAGATACGACAATGCACACGTACGCGAAACTATATTCGGTCGATGATCTCACGCCTGTATTTTATTTTGTTTGATGTTACTGCTCGGAGGAGCGTAAAATTTACGACGAACTTGTCGCGTCTGCGCGTTAGAGAAACGTTTAAGGATCTCGTTAAAGTGTCTCATCTTTTATGATCCTCTTAAAAAGATATTCCTGAATCTTTTATGAAAAGGAGTGACAAAATAAAAAATCAACGAGATAAAAAGAAATTTTAACGACCGAACAGAATCACTATAAAAAAAAAACGAGATTTCAATTTCGCGGGTTGTGAAAGATGGCGCTTGTTTGTTTATTGTTTCCATTTTATTTTCTTTTAACAACCGCGCGAATGTTCGTTTCAGCATAAGCCTAGATCCTGAGGAAGACATTCAAGATCCTGAGTTATTCACAGAATTGGCGAAATTTCTCGATGAGGATCTTGACTCTGTTGAACGTGAACAGGTATTCACAAAAACAATACCACGAATGGTAGAGAGAGCTAAATCTCTGAGATCCACGAAACCTCCTCAGGGCTTACACTACAGTTTACAGCAACAGGGTAAACCATCGCAATATTTAACAAACAAATAAAAATGACAAATAATAAAATGCAGAGAAAAAGATTTGAAAAAGAAAAAAAATGAAGAGAAATTTCAAATTTTTATTTTTTTGTTAAAACATCTCAATCATTTACGAACATATATATATATATATATATATATATATATATATATAATAATTTTCGACTTTTTTCTTTTTTAATTAGGAGATAGCGTCGAATATAGCTATGCTTTTGTCTCTTCTCTTATCGCTAACGCATTTTTCTCGACCTATCCAAAACGAACGACAAAAACACATCCTACATTAAGAGACTTCAACTTCACGAATTTCTTCAAACACCTTCACACGTGAGTCGAATCCAACTGAAATGAAAATTATAATAATAATCCTTTACGAAATATCGACGAAGATATTGCTATGTCTTAGGAATTGTCAGAAAGCAAAATTGAAGAGCATATTTCGTTACTATGATTATATTGAAAACGAAGGTGCATTAGATGGGCGAGTGATTATTTCGAGACAGGTAAAATGAAAGTGCGTTTGTTGAGAATGATATGAATTAGATAAAATAAGCAAATGAAAGAAATAATAAAAAGGTGAATTATTTTAATCCGTTCGTTTATTGTACATAGGTAATGACGTCAAAACAATGGTTGACCATAGAAGATTGGCTTGAAAGTAATGTACCACTTTGTCCTTTGACGATTCGTCACGAAGGTCGTTTAGGTAGACAAGATACAGAAACTGTTTACGTTTGTTTCGCAAGCGCAAGATTTGGGGGTGGAGTACTTGACGGTGACATTACGCAAGAAACCATACATGTAAATAAATATTATTGTGTAATTGGATAACATCCAATATTAAATTACGAAGAAAATCATTCTCTATTTTAGCTAGCAACTCATCCAGAAATGATCGCAGCAATTTTGTCAGTCGAGGCTTTGGAGGACAATGAAGCTTTGATAGTGGAAAATGTTAGACGTATATCTATCATAAACGATCCCCATAACAGAGCAATATTCGAAGCTGTTCCCAAGCCCAATACCGTAATATAGTATACTAATTATGATAAATAAGTTGTTCACCTTTTTATAAATATTTTATTCAAATATTATTTATATCTTTTTTAAGGTAACCATTTGCTGTATAGACCCGGAAGATTATTCAAGATTACCATTAACGCAATTCGAAGAAGACAACATTTTGAGAGAAATGAACAAATCACTTTTAGGATTTCGACAAAGACATGTACCGAGTAGCCCAACAGATCCAATCAAAACTGAATTAGATGCCGATGGAAGTCTAGGAGCTCGGAGATTGTCACCAATTGGTGAAAGTTTCAGTAGTACTCCACCTGAAATTGAGAATGAAAATAAGTTCTATGAGACTGGTGATGGCACGAAAGATGGTTAGAAACTTAACAATTTGACAATTATTTTCATAGTAACATCTGCTATGATAATATTGATTAGATTATTACATTTCCTAATTCAAACAGTTGAAACAACGACATTTGGTGAATTGAGCAAATCACCGAGTGGTACTGAACTTCGAACAAAACCGAACGGTAAATTTGTCCGATCAGCGAGCCCCCGAAGAGTTTGCAAGGACAGTAGTTGTACAAACAAAAAAAATCGTTTTATTGTTCTTGGATCCAGTGGTGAAGTTTTACCGGTCACTCGCAAATCTCTTGGTCAAATGTCTGTTTACAGTAGTTGCAATAGTCAAAGTACGGATAGTTTTCACAGTGCAAAAGACACAATGGACGAAGAAGTTGGTACGTAGAGAAACGATAATTATTCTCGACTTCGTTTACAATTATTACAACTGAGTAGAATTTTTTATCGATTTTAGACGAAGAAGAACAAAAGTTAACGAGACGTTACAGCTCGCAATTGGATACACCCGAAAGACGAGGTACATTTGCACAAAGATTAAAAGAAGCTCTCAAACGAGAAAGTACAGCCACTGGTGCATCTACTTCCAATACTTCTTCCGGTGAAAGTAGTTATGCTGTTGGAATAAGTATCGCGGGAAGTCACGTCTGTGATCAAGATATCAAGTAAATCTTTTTAGTTGATACTTATAATTTCATTTATTTGCTAAGTAATAAGTTAACTATTCTTTAATCAAACATTCCAGACTAAAAAGAGGAGGTTCGAGGGGATTCGTTCTGAGAGACGAGACTGTAGACGAAGATTTTTTGAAAGAGTCTTTAGAAGCAGAACAAAAGTGGTTAGGTAGATTTCGACAAAGTCAACCTCCGGCATTTCAAAGAAGAGAAACCAATGCTAGCAGTAAATATAGTTTCAGTACCGAATATAATTCTGGTAGGTCAAAATACATTTTGTTAAAAATATCTAACTTCAATATTTCTAATATATTGATTAAACATTTTTTATTTTTATTCTATTAGACTTCTGTTCCGAGTTAGAAGAAGTCTACGAGCAATTGTCAAAATGGTTGGAAGATCCGATCACAGAGGATGAAAATCGTGAATTGGATACAAGAGACAGAGCAGTCGTTAGATTCGCTGGTTCGTTGTTAAAACGAGCGCTCAGCGAATCTTTCGCAGGTGTTCCAGTTCAAGAGGGTGAACCTCAACCTTTCATCGATTCGACTGATATAAATCAAAGGCACAAATTAGCTTTAGCTGTGAGAAGTTTAAGTTTAGAACTGGCACGTCAGAAAAGCAGAAGGCAACAATCGGTAAACATTGTTTTTATCTTTTTAAATTTATTATTATGAATAAATATACTAAGCGAATAAAATTCATTCTTAAATCGTGTATCGCCATAGAATGAGAGACGATAAAGATCTATTTTTTATATATATAATCCTGATTATAATATATAAAATATGGAATAATTTCAACGCCATGTTATTAGCCCCAAAAATCATATTCGATAATAAATCATATAGTATAAAGTATGAGAATATGAAAAACAAATGAACATTTTCAAAAGACTTCAAATTTTATTAGACACGCATTTAAAGCTGTACCACACAGGTTTCTGAATCAGAAGAAATAGAATATTATGAAGATGCTTTGAGCGATGAGGCAACGATAACAAAGGATACGAAGGATTGTCAACGCAGGAAACTGCGAGCTGTTGCATTTACTTCTGAGGTATATCAAACCTTGGTCGATGATCATACCACTGTATATCTACCCAAGTCTATAGATAGAAAGATCTCTGGAACTGATGATAATATATCGGAATCAACTTATGTCAATAATACTACGCATGGAAATCCTATAGAGAAGTCCATACAATATTTAGTAAACGAAGTGAGCAGACTTATTCTTAGAGTCACAATAATGATATTGTGAATTAGTATATATATTTAACAATCTAATGCATGAAATAAACGTAATAACGTTGACAACTTCAAACTTTTGTCTGATGCCTATCACTTCGACTATCTATCTCTTTCTCTCTAAAGATGTGCAATAAAAATCTGACAAATATATAAATTTCACATATATATATATATATATATATATATATATATATATATGTATATATATGTATATATATGTATATATATGTATATATATGTGTATACATGTATGTATTAATTATTCATGCATGATCTATATTAAGAACATTGCTTTCAGTAAACACTAGTCCTTAATAATTAACATAACATTCATCTATTTATCTGTCTCTCATTCTATTTACCTTACAATACGCTTTTCTTATTCGTCAAAATTGATAACATACTTTCATCATACGTAAATTAGTAATTATCTTCTTTTCTTCTATAAAGCATTAATTCGATGCAACATCGAACAACGATCGAAAATCGTTTGTTCACAAAGAGAATACTGTAATCCAAATATTTAGATTATGAAACTAAGCATTATCTTTTATGCTTCTTTCTTTTTTACAATCTCATAATTTATTAACAATAATTTTTTTTCCATAGATACTCATTTGCCGCATGTCAATACACTTTTATTGAATATCACGACGATATTGACAAAGGCTACACACACATATATATATATATATACACGCATATACACACACACAGAAATGATAAGTAAAATCATCAAAGGATAATGTCATAATTATTATATTTACAGATACCTCGAGAGAATAGTTCTAACATCGGGGGATTGTTATCTGTAGCAACAGGCAATTGGGGTTGTGGATCAAGATTGAAAGGTGATCCACAATTAAAACTTGTCATACAATGGCTTGCAGCTTCTTTGGCGGGTGTACCAAGATTAATTTATTATACCGCAGGAAATTGTTCTTTATCTAAGGTAAGAATAAAATTAAATTTTAGAATAAGGATATAAAAAAAAAAAAAGAAAAGGAAAATCTAATTCTAATAACATTATTTACATTTTAGTTGGATACAATAAGTAGAGTTCTTCTAGATAGACATTGGTCAGTAGGTGATTTAGCTGCAGCTGTATTAAAGTTTTCCCTACAAGCCATTGAAAAAAGAGTAGAGAACAAAAGTAATCTTTTTGAAGAATTAATTGGTACGGATAAATTGAGTCCTTAGCCTGATCCAATGCTGTCCGTTTTAGTAGACATTCTTGCTACAATGATAGAGGACAGCTTATTAATCTCGCGTGAAAAAAATACTATAGCCGACGACAATTAAACATTGAGATTAATTTGGTACTAAAATATGAAACGAGGTTTACACGTAATAAAAAAAAAAATAAGAAAAGGAAAAACAAGAATTCTTTTTTTTTATTTTTTTTTATTTTTTTTTTTTCAAGAAAAAAAAAAGAGAACGTAAAGATTGCAATAGATAAGATATATAGGTATACGATCGAACAAGATGTTGCTTGTGTTCTACTCTTACATTCCATCTATTTGGTAAACTAAAACTATTGTAAATATAATTTTTTAATCAAATTCCTTTGTAATTCTCTTTTAAACGAATAGAATTTAAAATCATTGATTAGATTTTATAAAATATCAGATAAGTAACAATTATTCCTATACTAAATCGTTGGAATGAAAGAAACGCATGAAAATAAGCAACTTCTTCTATTTTATCTTTCCGAGATTTAAACTAGACTTAACTTCAAAGAGAAATGATCAATGATTAACAAAATACTTTATCACTTAGCATATCAAAATACGATGTATCACAACTGCACAAGTTGTTGTACAAGATAGCCTATCAAAGTAAAAGTAGATATTCTGATATTTTCTGTAAATATATAAGAAACTGCATTTTCAGGGAAACAGGTTAAATGAATATACAGGAGTAGCAGTATTTAAAAGAAAAGAAAAAGAAAAAAAAATAATAATAACTTTATAGCACAGCTATTATGTTAGACAGATGTACAATATGATATATTAGTAACACGAATGTATGACATGTCAATTCTAATTTTTTGTTTATACAATGAAATATATTTGCATATAATAATTAATGAAACACAATATATACTAATCTATATATTTTATACAGTAAAATTTGCAAGACATATATATATATATATATATATATATATATATATATATATATATATACATACACATATATATATATAAAGAGTAATTGCTAGTACAAGCAGAAGGATGATACTCCAATATCAAAAGCAACAAAAATAAAGAGAAGAAAAAGAAAGAAATAAAATCCAAAAAGTACTTTCAGTTTAAAAAAGAATAAGTTCGCCTATACTCAATTTATACCCATATGGTCCAAAAATATCAGGAATATTTCACAAATTTATATATGCTCTTTATGAAAATTCTACTTTCTGCAGCAGATATATCAATATTTAACGAGAGAAAAGTGACTATTTCTAAAGTGATATTTTAAGCGAACTCTGCGCTTATACAAACATTGATTTATACAGAGTAATTAAGAATGCTGCTTTTACTATAAATAAAACTCTGCACAATACAATAAGCTCTAGTTAAGAATAATAAATAGTTCAAGCAAATAAGGTTGCAAACCTCAATCTTATCGAAATTTGATAAAAAAAAATTGAAGGATTTTGATTAGAAAACTTCCTATTTGGTGAATAATCTTTGTGGTTTACAACTTTATACAGCTGAGATATTATAACAATGAATAGAATTTTAGAAAAACTTTTTGTCATATTTTATAAACAAATATACAGGCTGCTTTTTATATATCAAATAATTTGTATACATCTACTTATATGAATTAGATATTAATGTAGCCTGTGAAGGAAAATGCGTCTATTAACACAAGGTCTTCCATTACAAAACAACGAGTGAAAGTATTCATCAAAAAATTCTCTCTTATGTACTATTTACATGTATCTCATTTTTGAACATATTATATTATGTTTGTATTGAACATATATGACCCTATAGATTTATGTAAAAACTATGAATTATTTTTTTATATTATAATAACGAAAGCCTAATTTATTTCAACAAATTTGTCTATAAATCGACACGTTCAATTACATAATCGATATATAAAATTTTTTTGAATTATTGTTCAATAAGTTATATTAAATTGTTCTTTCAATATTGTTTATTACCTAATACAAAACTGAATGTGAAGTAAAGCAATATGATTCACACAATGCATCACAGGCTTTATTGACTTTACATCTTAAAGATAGTTTATATATCCTACAGCACAGTTAATGAGATACCGCATTCCTGGTTTATTGTTTCTAAATCAAAGCATATGAAGAAGGTATATAAATATTTTCTATAAGTATCATAAATACCCTTCGTTATGTTTTGCTTTTTACTTTTTATATAAGTGAAACATCTTACTTCAGTCAATTAACTTATAAAACTATAATTAAGTGTACCTGCTTAGAGCTTTATTCCATATTCAATACAATATACTTCATCATTCTGCAAAATTTACTCACCAATTGCACTGATGATTTCATTTTCCAAATCCTGAGTTTATTATCTTAATTAGGAATAAGAAAAGGAAAGTATAAAAAAAAAAAAAAAAAAAAAAAAAAAAAAAAAAAAGGAAAAAAAAAAACAAGAAGTTCCATTCACTTATCAAAAAAACAAACTTCGCAAACGCCGACCAACACCTTGTCTATCATAGAGTATATTGAATTTGTTTACAAATTGATTTATATTATTGCAACCTTTGGTTATAATGCCCAAGTATGTTATCAGACCAAAATCATTGCATTGCTGAAATAAAATATAAATAAATCATTATACTTGCGTAAATGTAATATAGAAAGAAAAAATAAATAAATAAAAGGAAATTTAAATACATACATTATAAAAATCAGCTTTAAATTTAGGATTATTTAAAACAGGCAAACGATATCCAAGAGAACAGGCAGCTCTTAATACTTCATGATTTCCTTTTAATTCGCCATTCTGTACCGCTTGTACATATCTTAATACTAATTTTACTCTCGAGTGTAACATTTTGATAGCACTATGTTGAGCTGCCAAATGTTTTGCCACTAAAATATTTAAGAAAAATTATATGAAATTTGTAAAGTAAAAGATTATAACTTTTAATAGGCAAAAAAAATTTTACCCAAAGAACTTTCTCCCTGTTCATTGCTGCACATTCTTGCAACATGATCAACTCCAATCCTTTCTGCTTCTTCTGTAGCTAATGTATAAGTCAATGGAACAAATAGCATAGTAGCTTCTCCATTAACTAAATCGATCACAGACTCATACATGGAAACAGATAATTTCTGTAAAAAATATACATTATATAAAACGTTTTTAAGTATTCTAAGAATCAATAGTTCCATGAAGTTTCTCTTACATCTGTATTTTTTGGTCTTGGATCCAATTTTAATAATACTGGACTTTCATTGATTTCACAAATCTGTTTGTGTACTCTAATATCTCTCTCATTAGGCATATCTCCTGTGGTATACCATCCAAGAAAATCCATTTCACTAAAGACTTGTTTAAATTGTTCCTCTTTTGTATTATAGTAATCCCTATCAATGATAACATCGTCGCCAATGCATGTAAACAATAATTCAAAGGAATTCATAATCTCTATATTACGTCCTTTTTGTTTTCCTATTAATGCTCCATATACTGAAAAAGAAATTTGTCATTTTAATCATTTGATTATAGACCTAAGCTTATAAGAAAATAAATAATGCAAGATCAAGCTACCTAATTGTTCAGCTCCTTCTTGAGCTCTTAATCTAGTCCAATGTTCGCTAACATTCATGATAACCAGAGGATGTAAACTGATAGACACTGAACCAACTGTACCAGAAGATGCCATGACTTTGATCGCACTTGTAAGATTAGCAGATGCTTTGGGATCTCTCTCTGATGTATCTTCGTCAACTTCCATTGGTATTTCCACCGGAGCTACATTATTATCATCCACTTCCATATCGCTACTTCTTTGCTTAGACTCATTCATATTATCAAAAAGGCTGAATAGCCCTCTTGGACGGTATTTTTATCGATGCCTTAATAAAAAAAAAAAAAAAAAAAAGAATAAGTAATATCAATGAAATGCAAAACGATTGCAAATCAACAATATAAGACTCTGCATGACATAGAAAATTTATTATAGAAAATAAGACAAACAATATTCATTTTGTATAAATTTAATCACGCATGTGATTGATGTTAACCATCAATAATTTGATGGTTAACAACTTTATGATGAAAATAATAATAACGTACTTTCTGTATTTGTCTCGTTGCCTGAGTAAATAGAACGTCCTACGTTCACGACGATCACCTCAAATGTACAAAAAAGTAAGCTTATATGGAATAATAGTTCACTTATGTTCGCTAATGTCGTGGTTGACGAGCGCGCTATCTGGCGTTAAAGATCGGTGAAAATTTAGGATACACTAGCTCCGCGTGAAGTTTAAAAAAGGAACTAATGTTGATGATTATTGAAACGTTAACAGACCTCCTATCGACAACGTGGTTGAACGTGGTCACACGCTTTTAAACCGGGAGCCACGTAAAGTAGTGAATGGTCAGTAGAAGTTAGTAGTCAGCCTGAATGCGGTGGTGAGCGGTAGTAAGATACGAGGTACCGCTCGTAACTCTACGATTCAAAACTATCGCGTCCAACAAAAGTGATTTTTTACAAAAATGGTTGCAATAAAAGGCCGAAAAAATTCTAACAAGAATCCACCGATATTCAGTCATGAATTTATTATTCAAAATCACGCCGATATCGTTTCCTGCATAGCTATGATTTTTGTAATCGGTTTAATGGTACAGGTCAGTGGCCGTATTATTTAGTTCATACACATAATTAAACGAATATTAATTTTTCGCGATTTTTTTTTCTATATATCATTTCATTTGTATACATAATAGAAATCACGAAGTTTCTATGAAGATTATTAAACGTTTCAATAATAATATTTGACTTTGACAAGTCAAATTAAGTCAGTACATAATGAACATATGTTACTCAATAACACGAATTTCTTAATTTACTTCAATTTACTTTTATCATTCGGATTAATTAATAAATCATCAATAATTATTAATGATTATTTCATTTTATAATATATTATTTCTACATGTAAATACATAAATCTTTAAGATAATTTTTACGAATATATAAATTTTTTTATTAAAGTTTAAAAGTTTTTAAACGTAAATTGCAGGTTACATCACCATGGGCTTATACATTTATTGCCATACATCATAATATATCTACAGCAACTACTGATGATCTGACATTACCACAAAAATATACAATTGGATGGAAAGATGCATGTGCTGTATTTTTTTATTTCTTAATAATTATTGTAATGCATGCTGTATTCCAAGAATATATATTTGATGTAAGTATCATTATATATAGAAAAGGATTTTTATATTATAAAGTATTTTCTTTGTAGAAAATATCAAAACGACTTCACTTAAGCAAAGTAAAACTTGCAAAGTTCAATGAATCCAGTCAATTGGTACTATTTTATTTGCTGTCCGTTATTTGGGGCATTGATATTATAATCAGGTAAAAAGTTATATCTCTTATTATATGTTAATTTAAATGGAATCTCCGTATTTATAACTTGTTAATGTTTCAGAGATAATTTATTATTAAATATAACTTCCTTGTGGTTGGATTATCCAATACTCTTATCTTTCTCTTTAAAGTTATTTTTTATTGGACAACTTTCTTACTGGTTACATTGTTACCCAGAATTATATTTTCAAAGAATAAAAAAAGAAGATATTGCACAACGTGTTATATATACTACTGTAGGGTTGTTCTTCACTTTTACAGCCTATTTCTTGAAGTATGAAAATTTTATAATTTCATTTAGATACTTGAATTATTAATATTATTAATATTATTTATTCTTCATTATAATTATTACAGTTTCCAACAAGTAGGCATAATATTATTTGTTCTTCATTATACTGGAGATGTTTTACTACATGGTGCAAGAATTAATCACTTTGTTAATCAGAAAGAAAATGTAACAAGAAGTGAGTTTCATAAATCATTTATATTCTTTATGCATATAATAATTGAAAATAATATTATTAAATTTTTTACAGTATGGTTCCTGATCGCCAATTCAATATATGTATTTGTTCATATTGCATCTTTAGTGCTTACATTTATAGTATTTTTTTATGGATTCAATCAAATTGAAAGTTCATTTGATTACTCCACTGGAAACTTCAATATTCCGATTGTACAATACACTGTTTTAAGTGTGATTATATTTTTCCAAATTTATCTTTTACATAAATTTGTTATGAGACAAATTAAACGTGCTCGAGAGAATACAACTCCTGTTATTACGAAAATAAAACCAAAACAAAAATTGAAAAAAAAGGAAGGTGAGTTTAAATATAAAATAAGTTAAGATATTTCGATTTATAAGATATTTACATTTGATATTTAATCTGTATTTTTAATTAAAAATACAGATTAAATATCAAATTTTATTATAACTTGTATTTTTAGGTAAAAAAACAACCTTGTCTGAAGATGATGAATTACCTGAAGTAGATCAGGCAACTAAAAAGAATTTAAGATCTCGTTCTTCTACGAAAGCAAAATAACTTCGTATACACACACACACACACACACACACACACATATTTAATAAAACTGTATAAGGCTGATTAAATATCAGATACCATTCACTTCTGTATAATCAGTATCAAAAAGTGAATATTCCGAAATATATGGGTTCTTCCTTAACCATAGGATTCATAAAAGAAATTAAATTTTAATGTAATTCAAGGAAATCATGAAAACATCTTCACAACTTATGTATATTAAATATTCTAATTACAAAAATAAAATCTTTTTATATAATTATCGCATTTGTCGTTTTCTCAATACATAAAAATGATATAAAAGTGTCTTTATTAATTAGTATTTTTTTCTAATATTAAAATACTTTTTTATCGATAGTAGATAAGTATATTTTTTCTTTCTAGAAAAATTTCGTCGATAAGAAAGGCATTAATAAAAGTTGACAGTAGCGTCATCTGTAATGAAAATATGAAAGGTTATCGAAAACTTGTTCTTATACGTTCTTTGATTATTTCTCGTATGATCTCATAGAAGATTCGTAAAGCTTATTGTCCAAATTTTTAATGTGCGAAGTGTGTTTCGTATGAAATGTGTGAACTTATATTTAGAATCATTCGTATAAAGTTATAAAATTTTTAAATTTTATTTGTTTTATTCGACCGTAGAGAAGGAAATTTGGAATAATTTATATCGCTTTTTAAGATTACGACACGTATGTGTGCTTGCATCAGGATAAGTAATATTTATCGAGGGTGTGTTTTTTCTTCTGCACATTTTTTTATTCTCATCTATATTAATTTAATTTTTCATTTATTTGAATAATGTTTTATGTCTAATAAATATTTCTTATAGTCACATCGATATTTCACCACTTGAATTTATAGGTTAGGTAGTGAATGAACCTTCGTTGAAAAAGGAAGCAGATAGTGGCAAATCTCGTTTATCTTGTGTTCATCCGTTCGGACGGCCTTGGAAGATACCATTCATGAAGAATTATCATAACAAAACAGGTGCCAATTACTTAAAGTATTGTCCGACAGTATATTTTAATGACTCTGAAAAATCGCCACAAATTCCTATGGTTTGTGCTAACATTGACCCCGTTAGGAGGTCTTTAATATCAAATAGTATCATAAAATACAGATATTTATAAAAAAAAAAAAAAAAAATTAATAAGAGTAATATTTATATATGACTATAAGAGAAGTATATAAGATAGCAGACGTTTAATATTTTTGTAAACTTTGGTTAGTATTTCAATATACAAAATGCTAGAGAAAATATCTGAGTTATCTAATTTGAGAAGAATTCTTAACGAATTCCCAAAAAATATAAAATTCTGCTTTGCATATGGATCTGGTGCATTTAAACAGTTAAATAATCATGAAAATAAAATGTTGGACCTTATATTTGTTGTACAAAATCCAAACAAATGGCATGCAGAAAATATAAAACTTAATCCGAAACATTATGCTATGCCATTGAGGTATCTTGGATATAAATTTATTGCCAATTTACAAGAAAATTGGGGTGCAAAAATGTATTACAATACTTTGGTAAAAACAGTCACAGGACAAACCATTAAATATGGAGTAATGTCTGATATTTCTCTGATAGAGGATTTACTAGATTGGAATGATTTATATATAGCAGGAAGATTGCATAAGCCCGTAGAAGTATTGATAGAACCAAATGAATATTCTCAGATACGCATGGCTCTTGTGCAAAATTTACATTCTGCTGTTCGCACAGCGCTTTTATTACTTCCTGAACATTTTACTGAAACAGATTTTTATAAAGTTATTGCTGGATTATCTTATAACGGTGATTTTCGTATGATTTTTGGAGAAAATAAAGAGAAAGTGCACAACATTGTTGTTCCACAATTAAAAAATTTCAAAGAATTGTATGCACCAATTTTACAACATTATGAGCAATACATAGATTTTCCAAAATCCGAACAACTGACAGTAATGTGTCAACAAGATACAAATCCAGCAACTAAAATACATCACTTAAATCAATTACCCCGAACACCTCAAATAAAGCTAGTAAGAGCATGGTCACTAGGTCCAAGATCAAAGGATACGGAAGACTGTTTACGTGCTATTGCATATGATCCTGAATGCTGTGAAATATTGGAACGATGTTTAAAAGAAATCGTCTGGAAATCTAGTGTTACTCAAAGTTTAAAAGGAATTGTGACAGCTGGATTTATAAAATCCATTAAATATAGTGGTGCAAAAGTCAAGAAGATGTTACAGTCAAACTCAGAGACGAGTATTCCTCTTGAATCAAAATCAGAAAAAATTAGCAATCTAGTTGACACTGTTGTGAAGAAGCAAACAGAGGCTAAGGATACTGACAAACGCCTAGAGTAGTAATTACATCTCTTCTAGTTGTATTTTGAATCTATCATCACATGTAAAATTTTCTAACATCTGTGTAGTAAATAAAATGGTCTAGTACTATTGCATTTCTAACTTTTCTTTATAGCTATTACTTAATGCCTGAAATTCGATGTTTTAATATCTCAATTATGTTAATCAAGTGTTCTTTCTTTTTTTTTTTTTGTTTTTTAATTTTATCGATATGTTTTAATATCAACAAAATATTGTATGAATCTTCGCATAAAAATTAAATTGTGAAGTAACTTTCTGCATGTAATGTACATTATGTTAATTAAAACTGACATTTATAAATTTGTTATATTTTCAGTAAATAATTAAACTATGACATCGATGGATACGGATTCTGAAAGCCAGGATAGCGATGACGGACGCCGATTTCGTTTTGAAGCTACTCGTAAAGATGCAACTATAATCCCAGACACCGTGAGTAAAGAGAAGTCACCTAGGAAGAAATCAAAACGCAGATCACATTTAGAGGATAAGAGTTATCGCGATAGAAAAGAAAGATCTAAACACGAGACTAATAGAAAAGAATCTCAACGATCAAGAGAACGAGACGCAGATGAAAAAGAGTCTAGGCATATTGTAAAACATACAAAATATGGAACGTATAAGGATTATAGAGGTACAAAAGAAAGTGATTCTGCATCAGGAGAAAAAAATCTCAAATATTCAATGGACTCAAAAGATAAATCCAGAGATTTGAAGCACTCTAGAGAACGAGATCGTAATGATCATCGTAAACATTCCCGAGAACGTTCTCGTGATAGGAGTTACGATGATAGATCGTCGGTTGACAGATACCGAAGCAAGTATCACGATAGACATAAATATTCTCGACATAAAAGTCGGGATAGATCGTGTCAATCAAATCGATTAAAATCATCGGATAATGAAAAATCTCGAAGTGAACATGGAAGACACGAGTCGTTTAAGAAAACCAAAGATAAACGATTACAGCATTTAGAAAATGAATATAGTGCACATGAAAATATTGATCAGATTCATGATGATAATGGACCTCATTCAATGTCATTGAATAAAGTTTGTAAAGCGGCTACTCCATTAGATATACAAGATTGTAAAGATTTAGATTTATCCGATTTTGATGTTCTATCAGAAACAGATGAAAATATATCTGATATTTCAGATTCTAGAAGTTTGTGTTCATCTTCATATTATCATAAGACCAAAGTAAGAAGAGAACACTTAAAAAGCCAATATGAATGTGTAAAAAAGAAACGAGTAGCACCTGATCAGGAACATGTGGAAGAACTACAAAAGGTAAATTGCAAGAACAGTACAACACTGTTGAGTTCAAGTAATAATAATCCTAGTGCCATTTCAGATACTTTATTAGATTTCATCTCTTTAGAATCAGCATCTATAATGAACAAACAGATGAAATCATTACAAGAAAAAGATGTAGAATGTAATACACTTGGGTCTAATGAAAAAACTAATACTTGTGCATATGGACCAGTGTTACCACCACAGCTTAAAACATTTAATGAAAAAAAAAGTACAAATGTGTATACATCCTTGTCTACAGAAGAACATGAACCTAAAGAAAATACCGTTAAAAATGTTAGTGATAAAGATAATATAACTAGCATTGATTTCATTGGACCTTGTTTGCCAAAAATAGAAGATACTTCGGATAATTATGAAAACTCAAATACAATGAGTGCTTTAAATTTGGAAGAAGAAAATCAGGAATATCAAGTACCTCACAGTCCATCAAAAGATATTAATGAATCTATGGATGATATTGCTGCTTTTGGACCAGCATTGCCACCTCATTTAATTAAACAGCAACAAAATGAAGCGGATACAAAAAGTAGATTAATAGGCCCTATAATACCTGAAGATATAAAACTACTTAATGAAGAAGAACGTATGGCTATGTATTCACAATTTGAAGATGAAGATACAGTATCATCTTTAATTCATGATAGCACTACAAATAATGGCCATACTTATCAGGAATTACAAACTCCTGGAATACATTATTTTCATGAAATTAAACAAGATGTAAGAAAAAATTATTACATTACAACTGTTATGATGCTGATATATGTATGTTAAAAATATTTATTTTTCAAGATTGCCGAGGATGTTGTACACAAACGTGAAAAGTGGATGATGGAATTACCTCCAGCTCGAGCAGCTGATTTTGGATTGCGCGCCCGAAAATTTAGATTAAGGCCTGGACCAGATATGTCTGATAGATCTTGTTGGACTGATACTCCAGTGGAGAAAGCTCGAAAACGAAAAGTATATCTATTAAATAATATGGTATATGTTTTAATATTTTAACAACTAAATATTTTTATATTATTAGTCAGAAGAAGAAGCAGCAACTTTACGCAGTGTAAATAAATCAGATTGCATTGGGTTACTTAAGGAAAAGTCAAAGAAGACTAAAAAACAAGAAAAATCTTTGCTGGAAATACATCAAAGCAAACTTAAAAAGAAAAGAAAGGTATTTTTAATTTATTTATATTTACTTCAAATTGTTAATTTGATTATAGATATCACATTTATCAACAATATTTTATAGAAAGAAGAAAAGGAAGCTAAAGCAGCAGGATTGCCAACTAGGAGGCCGTTCGATCGTAATATTGATTTACAAGTTAATCGATTTATGGATCATTCACAAAAGAGATCTGTTTTAATGAAAGCAGAAATGTTGAATGATAGATTTTCACGTGGGCAAATATAATTATTATAACTAAAACTTAAAAAACCTCTTGTACTTTTGGAATTTTAATTATTATAATTAGTTACAGCTGAGTGCCTTGAAGAAGAGCAATAAAACGAAAAAATTTTCATTGGTTCAAGAGATATATAAATAGTTTTAAAAAAATATTTAAACTAATATGTGATCAATTGTTTTAATACGACAGTGATTTTATTTAATAAATTGGGTGTGTATGTACAAGAGGACATTTTTCTAAACTTTTATTATATACTAATTTAAATCTCTATACTTTAAATACTTTTCCACATTGATCATTATAAATTTTTAGTGTCCGCTAAATAAAATTTCGTGTTACAGTATCATTGCCTTATGGAACACTTGAGAATAAGGTCTATTGATACATATATATGTAATAGTTATGAATTTACAAACATAATTTTTCAAATGAATATTATTTCATAATAACCAAAATTTACTTGGTTATATATTATATATTAAGTTTGGTTAATCATTGCTCTTATGAATTATGTTAATTTATCATGTATATAAAATAGCACTTTGTATTTATACAATATAATGATTGTATTAAATAATTTATTATATATATAATTATACTTTAGTTTCCACAGCATTGAAAAATAAATATTCCTGGTATTTTATTCTTATTATTATTATTATTATTATTATTAAATATTCGTTGATAAATATTTTTATGCAATTAAGATTTATAAAACTTCAATGTATCCATTTAATAATAATTACGATGATAAATTAATTAACAATACAATTATATATTACTATGAGTTAACCTAATTTATAATTTTAGGTTTATAAAGTTCATTTTGGGTGTTTATAAAAAAATGTATTGTAACCTTCAAAACACTGTGTGTGTGCGTTTGCGTGTATATATATATATATATAAAATCTTATCAAACAATTTTCAGTAGAAAAATTATTGAATATATCTTTAACAAGTTTTATTGCTTTCATTTCATTACATTTAAATTCATATAAAAATACAAATTAGCTTTTATTTTCTTTCTTTTTTCTCTTTGATATATCAATAATTTAACTTACATTAGCACTATTTACGCATGTCTTTACCTAAACGTTATTCGACATTAACAATTATCTATTTGGCCAAACATTTTTTTTTTTTTATTTAAAACGTGTGATAACATCAAAGAAAATAAAAACACAGCGCCAATAATTCTCACTCACGTTTACTGTGTCTCTCTGGAACGACGCAACTGTGTTTTCATTAGAAAATGTATGTATTGTATTTACATATATGATGTGAGAGATAAAATCGCAGTCAGAGAGACAGATAAATTTAATAAGAATTTTCATTGCATTTTTATTCTATTTAATCTTTAAATATGATATAATTATCGGTATAGAAGAAAGAATCGTAATTAATCTGTGTATGTATTTAATTTTTGGAAGGATCGATTATTAGACGACGAACTTCGTTCTTTCTGATTTCTCTAACATGTCACGTAATACGAATACGCAGTAATTTAGAATCGTAATTTTAATTGACATAGTCAACAGAAGAAGAAAAATAAAAAAGACAAGAAGAAGAAGAAGCTTGCTTGAGAACGTTATCGTGTTTACAGAAAATTTAAATAATCTTAAATAAAAGAGAAAGGAAGAAAAAAGAAATGTGAGAAAGAAAAGAATAACGTTTTTTCTTTTCTTTCTCTCTCTCTCTCTCTCTTGTTCACTCCATCGTTTGCTTGTTCGCTCTCTTTCTCTCTCTCTCTATCTCTCTCTATCTCTCTCACTCTTTTTCAAGGCATTGCCCGTAATTGACAAGCAGCGCGCAGTGTGACGTTACGTCGTTCGCTTTCTGTAACCTCAAATTTTAATGAACCACGCAAAGACGCAAATGACATCTTCCTTGTAGTGACACAACGTACACTTAAATTGCACATACTTTTTCATTGTATAAAAGGATATTACGTGCGTATACTCACTCAAACACGTTTACGTTATAATATTTTTCAAGTGGTCAAATAATATCCGTTGTACGGTCTTCCTGTGTCGTCTGTTCTTCCGGATGAAAGAGACGAAAGAGAATTTATTAGTACGTATTTGTAAATGTATTTAATTATTGTTAAAGATCTTCGAGTATTTTTGATTGATATTTATCCATTTAACTCTCTTTCTCTCTCTCTCCCTTTCTCTCTCTCTCTCTCTCTCTCTCCGTCTATCTATCTATCTATCTGTTTATCTATTTATCTGTCTATCTATCTATTCTCTTTCTATTCTCTTTCTATTCTCTCTTATCTTTAATTCTATATGTACGTATGTATGAACAATAGGCAACTTCATCATACTCAATAGAATTGATATATTTGAAAATCTGTAAAGCAGTCATGCGACGAACGTGGTTGTAAGATTTAGATAGAGATTAATTTTTGTATTTTTATTCTATATGCGTTTCGCTTTTATCTATCTATGGGAAATTTATCAATGAACACATTGAACGGTCATCGAAGAAGAACAAAAAAGAAAGCTTTGTAGCAGATACGAATATTGGCTTTTTTCATTGGTTATACAGAATTTAAACGATATCGAATAATATCGTTTAAACTTAATTTCGATGATTTCGTGATTATTAAAGAAAATATATTGTGCGGTAGAATGATTTAAAATTGATAATGATGTCATATAATAATAGGTGTGTCTGAACGCTTTGAAGGTTATGTACATTTATAAGAAATTTTAAACGTATTACAAGTCGATACACAATACGTTGGGATACTTCCTTTTATATTTAAATATCGATATAAAGATTTAATTATTAAATCAAATTGTAATTATCGCGAGTTATAAAACATTGAAGATTAAGATCTTTTGAGATTGATGATAAGGAAATCAACATATATTTATATCAACACGATTCTTATGTGTATGTATGTGTATATATATATATATATATATATATATATATATTTATATATATATGTATATTTATATATATGTATGTATTTATGTAGACCTCCAATTATTTTAATATCCTGTTTGTACTTATTATATGTTTACTTTTATTTTTATAGAGAGATAATATTAGACTTTTCCAATGGATAAAATTTTGCAAATGGTTGCAAAATAAATTTGAATCTGTTATAATGAATCAACTAAGGGAATATCGATCAGTTTATTAAATTTTATATGTAAACAAGTGGATGCCCATTTAATAATCTCAAAAATGCAGCAGTGCTGTGTAAGCCACCAAGTTCAATTATGGCTTTTACTATTACTACTTTGTGTCGCATATTGTGGTGCAGACATTTTAGTATTCTCAGCAGGTACCAGATATCAGGTAGATGATGAATTTAGAGATATGCCAGCAAGATTTGGTGGCTTTATACCATCTGAAGGGATTAAGGTTTATATATTTAAATACTTTCAATATATATATATATATATATATATATATATATATACTATAATATATTATATTATTAATTTAGAAATTATTATTCTTTTAGGGCATGGTTGTTTATGCTGATCCTCCTAATGCTTGTCATGAAATAAGTGGCCCTCCAAATGATACAAGTTATGAAGGGAGTTGGATAGCTTTAATTGCTCGGTATGAGTGTAAGTTTGAAATTAAAGTGCGAATGGCACAAAAGGCTGGTTATGATGCTGCCATTATACATAATGTGAACAGCGATGAGTTAGGTACATAATTTTTATCTTATTTATTGTATATAGTAGATTGTATTTTTTTGTCTATTACCATTACAAATTTTATGTCTGAAAAATATATATAAGTTGTTATCATATCATGTTGTAGAACCAATGTCAGCCGAAAATCCATTAGGAATAAAAATACCATCTGTTTTTGTTAGTGAACGAACAGGATTAATTATAAAAAAAAATTATTTGTATGATCAATTATATTTTGTATTGATTAATGACGATCTACCATTTAATATTAATACACATTTGCTTTTGCCATTTGCAATTGTTGTCGGAATATGTTTTTTAGTCATGGTTATTTTTATGGTGAGTCCAAAGAACATATTAAGATATATGGTATAACAATTATATCTCGAATCTTCTGTTATTTTTGTAGATTGTCAGATGTATTAAGGACAGAAGAAGGCAACGTAGACATAGATTACCATATTCAAGTTTAAAAAAAATGCCAACTCATAAATATACAAAAGGTGATCCTTATGAAACATGTGCTATTTGTCTAGATGATTATATGGAAGGAGAAAAATTAAGAGTGTTGCCTTGTGCCCATGGTAGACTATTTTTGGCAATATAATATAATATATATCTAATAATAGATATGTGATAAAAACATATACATAAAATGATGATAATTTTGTATATATATATGTCTATATATTTTAGCTTACCATAGCAAATGTATTGATCCTTGGTTGACAAAAAATCGTAGAGTATGTCCAGTCTGTAAACGAAAGGTTTTTGCAGCAGACGAACAAGTTATTACAGATGAAAGTGATTCAGATGCTGATGACTCAACTCCTTTGATACGAGATGGCTATCAAGGTAAAAAAAAAAGCTAATTATTTGTACATAATCTTTTTACAAATAATTATAAAAATAATTGTTTAGGTACTCAAGGGGGAACTTTCATACGTCAAAGAGAAAATCCTTTTAATAGATCTAGGAGAACGCAAAATAGGCAGGATATGAATAATTCTAGTAGTGGCTCAGATTCTGAGCCATTTTCAACAACATCTGATGATGATGGTAGTATAAGTACTGGGGAGCCTTCTGGTGGAATAGTTTTCATGGTTTCTGACTCACATAGCATTAATGGTAATGTATATGTAATATATATTTATGTATTACATATTTTTTTTATTTGTGAACAAAAATTACCTATGAAAGTTTTCCTAATATAGGCGAGTTGCAAGATTTAGAACGATCTGTAAGCAGTACGAAACCACATACGGTTAACTTATACACAGAAACACAAGAATTTCCTGTTCCTGTTGTACAAATCACACCAATCCGACAAACAAGGATTTTAGTGAATTCAACAACTTTAAATCCTGATCACCTTGCCATAGCTGCAGACAATAGAAGTGCAAGTACAACTTCTATTGATTCTGAAAGAAATGACGTTGCAGCATAATAATAATTAATTGAAAAATTAGATCCACTATCTTTGGTCATCTTAAAAATTACTGACATGAAATATTAGCAAGTTTGCTACAGGATATGGAAAATAATAATTTGCTAAAGATATTTTTTGACATGTTATTTTACCTCAAGGGTCTGTAACATCAAATATATTTTTCTGCAGATTTTTTCTGTATTCTGTTATAAGAGGTGATACACAAATTGCTTATACTGATATATTTTTGCTTACATTGATATATATCTATCTTGTTATAACTTATAACTTATTATATATAAAATCAAACATATTATTAGGATTTTTTAATTATGTTGTAGAAATCATCACGTGACATTTAGTTTAATTGGAAGGATTATTGATTTCACAGAGTATCATTAATTAATTAATTATTATCAGTTAAAATATTAGTATTGGATATATGTAGTAATACTGAAAATGTGATATAAACCGAATATGATATATCCTGTTAATGTTATGCTTTGCACTGATTAGGAAATATGGGAATATCGTCTTGTATAGTACCTATTACTTTATAATTGTTTAGATCTATTTAAACATACATATCCATAATGATTTTAATTAAACTTTCCATTTTACTTTACTTGCAGAAGGATAAACAAAAGAGCATTACTTTTCTTGCTTTATACATTAGTTGGTTTTAAGAGATCTTTGAATACTTTTATTCATTGCATTATTACGACTACGGAAATGGACAAAAAAGAATAAATTAACGTATATATTAGAATAGTGTATACTTAGTATTTCTAAAAATCATTTTTATAGAAGTTATCATATATATATGTATACATCAAAAAATTCCATTGAAACAATCTAAAGTGGGCAAAATATTTCTTAAAATTCTTTTTTATAATTAAATAAAATAAACATCATACATGTGTATATACAAGTTAAAGAACTAAAGATTAAAGTACATCTTTCTTTGGATTGATAATGTAACAAAAATATAATTAATAATTTTTTTTTATCTTATAATAAAATATATTAATATAGTATTATACCATATAATATAATATACTCTATGTACTTATATTTTTTACATATTTTAATATGCATAAAGAATTTGTATTTTTTTTTTTTTTTTATATAAGTACATATAATATGCTCATAATCGTAGAATAATATACTAAATCGTGATTAAACAGAAAAAAGTAATTTTTATTTGCTTTTTTTCAATCGAAAGATAGATGGAACTTGTATTAGTTCGATAACGAATCAATAGTATATGAGCAAAAATTACATGTCTCTTTTCTATAATTTTTATTAAAAAAAATAGTATGCCCCCTCAGGAATATTGCAGAGTCTAAACAGTTTAGACGGAATAGTATCAGATTTTGCAGAAATGTGTGTTATCTTTTTGTATAGTTATAAAAAAAAAACCAGAACGTCTTCAATGTACAAATATATACATATATACATATATATATATGTATATATGTATATATATATATATATATATATATATATATATATGTATATGTATATATATATATAAACATATACAATCATTTATCTAACATTGTTCGACGATCACTGGTGATATTGTAAAATGACGAATGCAACTGACGATAAAATCTATATATTACAAATTTGTAAATATTACCTGTTTAAATGTAAAAATTTAAAGACCAAAAAAATATGATAATTCCTTTTTTCATGCAGGACGTATAATATAGTTACTCGTATATAAACTTCTAAAGATAAACATATGCAAGTATATAGTATATAAGTTCTATAATATAAAATGTTATAAACGGTACAAAGTATAACAATTATAATAATCGCGAAAGATTTTGTTTTATAACGACGTTGGTTGATTATATATAAAAAAAGGAAATTGCGTATCGTATATAAAAAATTAATTAATTCAATCGGAATAAGTTTCTCTTTGATGTTTTTTTTTTTTTAAGAGATTATCCATTATTAAATCATACATCATTTAAAACATTTCAATATATATATATATAAAAAAATAATGAATGATGGTAATATGCTTTGAAATGTACATAATCATAAATTTCTTAAACGTAATTTGTTTACCAATATATTGCTATTATTTTTTAAAATTATATAATCTCTAATATAAGAATTAGATTAAATCTCAAATACGGAAATGATTATTGTTGATCATTGCAATTGATATTATATATTTTATTATGCGTTATAGGAGGAAGAAAAAATTTTCATAAATTGTCAGGCGAAATGTGTCAGTTGTTAGTTGAGTTTATTAAAATATTACAACGGATCTTTTAGTACGAATGGGAGAGGAAAAAAATTGTAAAAAGCCATGTAAATAATTATATAGGAGATTTTATTACATGCTATCAAAAAAAATTTAATTTTTATGTGTATTTGTTATTATTGAAATTAACATGATTAGACTGTTACAATTTAATATTTCAAAAATAATTAATAATATAATATCGACTGTGAAAGTTCGAATGATTTTGAAGAAGCAATTCATTCAATAAAAATACTTGTAACATTTTTTTAAGTTCTTTTTATATAAATATATATATAAAATTAGTAATTTTAATATTGGTAGATATCAATTATTTTGAAGATATTTGTAAAAATTTAAATGCTCCAATTTGCATATATATACTTGTATAGCAAAAAACGACATATACATATATATATATATATATATATATATATATACATACACATCAATACACGCATTTGTAATTTCATTTCATTGTTTGATATTAGATGTATCGTCCAAATAAAAATAAATTGTATTTATATTTCTTATGTTATCGCATAAGATTCTTAAGTAAATGTATTCTACATGTAAAATCAAAGAGAACGAAAAAATGCGTATAGTTCACATTGTGTGATGCATTTAAAAAATATCAGTTTAAATTGTATCCGCTTAGATTTGTAATTAATTTAAATTTTTGATATATATATATAATAGATTTTAATCGTATAAAATATTGGAAAGAAATTGTCGAGATTCATGAAAGAATTTTAGGCTCGACAGTTGGAGAGGAAAATCCATTGATTGAAACTAAATTTATCCATCATTTAAATATATTTGGACGATCGAAGTAACACGTCTCGTTAAAAGAAATAAACGTAAGGGAAGGTAGAATAAACGAGAGAGGAAGAGAGACAAAAAATAGTTAGCGTAAAGAAGGAAGAGGAGTGGGAGAGATGATGGAAGAGGGGAAGAGATTAGGCGAGTGGCTGCACGTGATGGCACAATACCGTTCGAAGTTCGATTAAAAAGAAGAGCCATGAGGGAATCCGGAAGTCGACGAAGAAGATGGCTCGAAGTACTCCAGCGACTGGAGTCCTAGCTATCCAATCTTCCGCTATCGCAGCAACCTCGATTTCTTTCTTAACTCCACACTCCTTTGGTTTAGTAAACGGGCAAGAAAAGAAAAATTGGGGACATTTTGTCAACCCTGACATCGTCAATTCGACCCTCTTACTGTCAGATTTAAATCTTTACCGTTGTTTGATGAGAGACAAGTATAAACATTGTCCTAATCTATGTATATAAAAGACACGATTATGTTCTATGCTATACATCGATTGAAAGTAAATCACGTATTGTCCATTTTTCTCTATGACATGCACCATTTTTCATGTTTTTTTTCGACCATGACTTTTACTTTAATATCACGACATAGATATGTAGGTCCGACCGATTTGATATATGATTTATTTGCGATGAAAATTGTGGATTACAAGAAGAATTGCTGAAAAAAAAAAAAACTCATCATAACCTATGGAATATTCAACGGAGAAAGAAGGATACGTCATGTGGAAAGTATCAATCGATTTGATCAAATGAAGAGGAAAGTAACGAATCTGTCGAAAACAATTAATGAATTTTTATGTATCGATGACAGGTAAATAAACGATACGACCGCCTAACTAATTCGTTGATACTGCTACAGCTGGTGATGAATTATCGATTTGCGAAAATTTCCTTTCATTATGATCATGCGCAACGCTTGACCGTGATGGAGTATGAACATGTCTGAAATGTAATGCTCTCCTTGTTTGTGCTTTGTATATTCGCGCGCGCGTATAAAATGGAACGAAACATAAGCGTTAGATGGTGCTACGTTCCAGTATTCACGTTTTTTTTATTTCAATTTTTTAATATAAAATAAAACGAAATGACAGATTTGGATGATATATCGAATGAAAATGTTAACATTAAGAGCGTATTAAGAAAAATTTTTAATTTTTATTAAAAACGAATTGAAAAAAAATTTTTTTTTTGTTATCCTAAAAAATGGCTACCAGAGAAAATAGATACGGCCCTGTGGCGCGTGATCGGAACGAGTCTTCAATCGCTCTTTGGATGACCTCTTTGAATAGTTGTGCTATAGGTTGATAGCATACAATATATATCAATAATCGAAGGTGCTTTAGATCGAAGGACTTTATTTGATCGAAATAATAAGATTCGCATAAATTTATTATTCCTATAACAGATTCAAAACATGACACAGTATCGAAGAAAATATCAACTCCAAGAAGATGGCGGAAAAGGACGAATCCAACAAGACGAAATTACATTACTTTAATCTATTTAGATACAGTAAATATATCTAATATTCCGTATCTTAAAATCTACATCGCGTTTTATTATATTTCGTGTCTTTATTTAGATATATTAAGAAGTTATTTACTGCAGTAATGTTCGAAAATATATTATAAGGGTGCTCGCAATAAGCATGTATAAATACACGAAGTTATGAAGTATTTGTGCAAAGGCGTAAAGTTAATCGTGGCATAAAAATGTCGGGAAAATTAATTTGCTCATTCTCCGCCTTTCGACCTCGTTCATTGATCGTGTAAGTAGTAGGAACTAAGATGTGTGTGCTGTCGAGGAGACTACTGTTATGACGATGTATTCGACCTGTTCAGAAAGCGCCTAAATGTGGAAAGGAGCAGGAAGGAATCCATAAGAGTCAGCCACGCTTCGAATCGAGGATTTTACTCGGACGGTTTTTCTCGGCTTTCTCGTGGTTCGAGGAGAGCTGGGGTTGGTTGATGATGTAGACAGAGAAAAAGCGAGAGAAAGAGAGACAGAGAGAGAGAGAAGAAGAAGAAGAGGGTTGGCAAAGAGGCTCCCGCAAGGATGGCAGAGGGGGTCGTTGAAGGGTTTTGGTAGGGTGGGGTTGAAAAGTGTCGAGGGACGACATGCAATGCCAAAGGAGATGCCCGGGGAAGGAGAAAGAACAAGATGGCGGACGCGGTACAATGGTGGCGCCACTTGAGCTGTGGAACGCATGCGCAGAACGCTCGTTCGCTTAGGTAGAATAATCGGATGCATGTCGACGTCGCTTATAATTCGGTCGCTTCGCAGCGACGCGAATACGTCCGTCTTGAGAAGAAAAGAGAGGAGAAGACGGAGGAGAAAGAGGAGAAGTTGTGGAGGAGGAGAATACGATCGAGTCTATCGTTTTCGAGCGAGAGCGCGGGCGCACAGCTCCTGCTGGCCGGCGTGTTCCTGCCGAACGAGGGAAAAGAATCCGCCCTACGATCGTCTGCTCGCGCGCGCGCACTTACGGCAATTGCGGAGAAAACGTGGGTGCGCGCGCGTTAGAAAGAGAAAGAGAGATGTAGCACCGCTCCCTTCGTATAAACGATCCGCCTGAGATTATAGCTCTCACGAACGTAACGTTGAAAAGAGATATCGAGGAAGGGAGAATGCGGGGCTGCTTGTATGAGAGGGAGAAGTAGAAGGGGATCGAGGGAAGGAAGGGTAGACAAAGAGAGAGAGACAGAGAGAGAGAGAGGGAGAAAGAGATAAGCGCATGTGCGCGTGCGGGAGACAGAGAGACGGTCCGCGAGAGAACGAAGGTGTTCCGAAGTTTTCGACGTCTCTCCAACTCGGGACTCGTCGGATACGCTCGTTAGCTGATACGCGCGCAGTGCCTGCTGCGGCTACGGGCTCGGTGTTTCTCGTGTGTCACGCGCTCGGAATCATCTCTCTCTCTCTTTTGTTGGTGTTGTCTCTCTCTTTGTTGTGTACATATTATACATACATACGTATATATGATAAATGTATATACGCGCGTCTGTATATAATACGTACATAAAAATTATACAAACGTAATTTAACGTTTACTTAGCGTACATACGTACGTACGTGCGTACGTGCGTGCGTATGTGCGTGCGTGTATCTCTGTCTGCTGTATGTAGATTCATGTGCAGGGATACACGCGCGTGAGATAGATTGTCTCGTGCTGCGATAATTCTCCTTGTGCCTCTCACTCTCCTCTCGTGTATGTCAGTCGTAATCCAAAAGCGATTCTTCGATAAATTGTCCCTTTTATATAAACTGTTTGAATCGGAAGAATGATAAGTATGGTTCATGTTCGCGAACAGAATAATAAAGAATAATGAGAAGATAAGCTCGACTTCATCTGGCTTTCACTCGTTCTCTTACTTTCTCTCTCTCTCTCTTACACACTTACACACACACACACACACACACATTCACATACACTCTGGTTGAAGTGCGAAAAGTGGATTCGCCGTGGCTCCTCTTAAACGTCGCGGACGCACCCTCCTTTTCTCCTTTCTCCCTCCTCCAGCGCATCGACCAACCCCTTTGGCCAGTTTCTTCCACCTGCTTCCTACGTCACCGACGCCGTGGTCCTCTATCTGAACACAACAAAACGTGTACGAGATTCCTTTGTTGTCGTATCCCTTTAACGTCGTGCCAAAAATCGGTCGGCCCAGCATCGCCGACACCGTCGCCGTCGTCGTCGTCAATGTCGACGACGGCGTCGTCGACGATCTCGCGTTCATCGACTCGTCGAATTTGGACGAGACGCTTTTTAACAATCCGTTTGGTTAAGCAAGTGGTTAAACCGTTATATGGATCAGACAAAACGAAAGAAATAAATATAGGATCTCGTACGTGAGAGTGTGTACGAGTGAGCAAGCGAGGAAGCAACCGAACGAGCGAGCAAGATAGAGAGAGAAAAGTAGGACGAACGAGGCTGCGAGGGGTTCTAGTTCCTGGAACGACCGTTCCCATTCTGGGTGCGCGGAGAAGCGGAGGAGTTAAGGAGGAACGATCGAGCAGGGACCGTCTCTCCGTCCGTTCCTCGTGACAGCCGATTCGACAGCCGCGTGTTTTGTCGCGTAATCACTCTCAGGAAGAGAAAGCTATTAGCGTGTTATACACTCCCGTGATCAAAAAATATATTCATGATCCCTGCTCGACGATACAGTCGAAAGTTCGTTTTCCTGCAAAAATCGAGCTCTTTAAGGGCTGCTCACAGAGTGGAAAAGAGGCGTGCGCGCGCGCCCGCGCGCATCTTCGTGCGTGCCATCACGATCCGGGTGTAGTATAGCGCGAGTGCAAGTGAAGTGCACCCTAACCTCACTTTCTTTTTTTTCCTTTCCATCTCTCTTCCTCCCCACCCCCTTTTTTCCCTTTCTATCATTCTCTCTTTTTCTTTTCAATCTAAAAGGAAGACGCGACACGCGCCTACTTTTCAATGAATATTTCTTTTTTCGCTATCGCAGCTGTAAAGGAGACCGTATTTATGTGTTGGGTAAAAAGATATTAGGTGGTCTAGATAAGTGTAATAGCTGTGGTCAAGGAAAAATCAAACGGAATAAGAAGATAATAGTCAAAGGTGTGTAAGAAGATCGAAGAGAACGAAAAAGAAGAAAAAGAATAAGAAGCCGAGGAGGTAGTTTTCGCACGGGGGTGTGTCCATGAAGTCTCAAGAGTTGAGTTCGTCGTTAAGTTCGTCACGGTGGTGGTGGTGGTGCTCGCAATCGTGCCGGCACCGGCCGTGATCATCGTTGACGACGAGGACGAAGAAGACGAAGAGGAGAAGGAGGAGGAGGAAGAGGGGCGGGAGGAGGAGGAGGACAGAAACGTGCGAGTAGTCGTAGCGGAGTGGAAGAGGAGGTGTTGGTGGTGGTGGCGGCGGTGGAAGAGGTGGAGGAGTAAGAGGGGGAGGAGGAGGGCGCATAGCCTCGCGTGCAGGATGCAGCATGAACCTCGGTGTCCCGTATCGGGAGCTCGCGAGCCTCGGCAGGGGGACTACGAGGACGGCGTTCGTGCGCTTTCGCCGCTCGAGAACTCCTGTCGTCAGAGTCGTCGTTATTCGACGTTCCCCTACGCTCGACGTTCGTACGAAGAGACTCGCTCGACCCGGTGGCACGTTCACGCGAACGACAAGCTACAGGGAGAAAAGGAAGAGAAGAAGAAGGACGAGAAGTCGGAGGAGAAGGAAGTGGAGAAGAAAGAAGACGAGAAAGGTGGTGCTTCCAGGACGGTGGTCTCGGTGTTCGGCCAAGTGGCGTGTCAGAAGGAAGAGACGAAAGTTACCATCGACGAACGACGACGCATTATCCACGATCATCCTGCCTTCTTCCCGCCTTTATCAGCCTTACCCGAATCAGTCCTCGTTGTCGTTACAACGTTGGCTGCCGCGGCAGTCGCGATTACCACGAGCTCGATCGTTACCGTGTTGGTGGTGGTACTCGGCAGTGCCGTTTCTCCCGCAGCTATCGTCGTCCCTATTTACGGACGAAGAGACTCGCGGTTGTTGGCCCAGGGGAACTTCTAAGGGCCCCGCTAACCCGGACCGTTCGAACAAGTCCTCGAAGCTGGCTAACGGCACCGGGATACTTTCGAGCGGGGCTGAGAGCACCGTTGACCAAAAGGAAGGAGAGAGAAGAAGAAATTGGACCAGGAGTAGGAGTAGAAAGAATACGAGTAATACGCTTAGCTCGTTTACTTTCGGTGGCGAGGCCGGTGGCGAGGTCGGTGGCGAGCTCGGCGGCAGCGGAAGGACGCAGCTTAGCCGCGGGAGAAGAAGCGGGCTTAGGCCTTGGTGGCAGCGATGCGGGGCCCCCTGCAGCAAGGAACACGCGACCCCAGCACGGATTGTCCGCGCGAGTTCGCCACGACTCCTTCCTCTTATCATCGTTTGTATCGTTATCGCCTACGTTATCGCCTCACGTACGTTCTCGCTTCCTCGCCGATCCTCGTTTCGATCGGTGGACGGAGGAAAGGAAGGAGGACTCCTTCGGAAGCATCATCGGGGAGTCTCAGCAACGACGAGAACGACGTGGAGAACACGGGGACGTTAGAGTCCCCGATCTCGTGTCCATGCGGCTCGACTCGCCCGGACTCACGGGACCACCCACGACGACGAGAGGAAAGAGGAAGAGGAAGAAGAAGAAGGCGGAGGAGGAGGACGACGAGGAGTCTCGCGTCGTCTATCGTTGTTGTTCTCTCTTTCGTCGGATCGCAACCCCTAAACAAGAACGACGTGGCAACGTCGTTATCGCCGAGCGGCAACGTCAACGACATCATCGGCATCAGCATCAGCATCATCGCCGACAACAACAACAGCATCAGCAGCAGCAACAACAGCAACAGCAGCAACAACAACAGCAACAGCAGCAACAACAACAACAACAACAACAACAACGACGGCGACGTCGTCGACGTCGAAGACAGCAGCTGCACGGAGAACACGAGGACGGGCCAGCAGCTAGAAACGCCACTGCCTTTCGCGCCTCTCGCCACCCTCCTTTCCGCAGTGTGGTGCGCGCGCGTTATCACGCGGTCACACCGACCTTGGAAGCCGAGCAGGGAGAACGCCGAGCGGATCGGCTCTCAGCGACGCGACCACAACGACGACGGTGGGCTGTTGCTCCTACCTCCCAGTCGAGAAAGAAAAGGGGACTCGCTGGACGCCGTAGAAGATCATCTATTTTCAACGATCGAATCTTCCTGCGTGGTTACACCGTCGAACGTTTCTCGGTACGCTCTTATCCCGCGTCAAATGGATTCGCGAACAGTGCGATTTTTCTCACGGGTACTTCTTCTTCTCTTGATGTGCTTGCTAACACTGCCTTTAATGACGACGACGATGACGAGGACGAAACGGAGAATATATCGTCGTGCCGACGGCCGACGATGGACGCATTCGTCGAATCCTCGTCGACGATCGAGATCGATGCTACGCGATGTCACTCGTGGACTATCAAAAATAGTGGAACCGGAATCGGAACGGACGACGCAACCGTCGTTAATCACTGTACATCGGCTCATTTATCAAACGCTGACAAGAATAGAAAGTCTTCCAGCTATCGTCTTCAACGAGAAGAGAATCGAAGCGATAGCTTCGAAGAACAAGGAAGAAGAGTCATCGTCGACGACGTTGACTTTGAACGTGAAAGAAAGAGAAGAAAAGAAAGAGAAACTCAAGGAAACAACGAGTATCCTGATGGATTTCCACAATCGACTCATAGTCGGAGAGAAGGAAATTGGTCGAACGAATCTAACGCGAATCTCAGGATCGTCCTCGAGGAGAGTATTTCGAGAATCGCGTATCGCCGGCGTCAGGAGCAACAATGTCAACAACAACAGCAACATCACCAACAGCACCGCCACCACTACCATCACCATCACCACCAACAACAACAGCAGCAACAGCTGCCTCGTCGCGGCAGGAATTACGGACTGCTCCTTCTCTTGTACCTCCTGACGTGGCCGTTGTTGTGCTCGAGCAACAGTTCGAGCCAACATCCTTCCCCGGCTGGCTTTGGACAAAAGGCGGATACCTACAGCAGGGGTGAGAACCTCATACGGGAACGAAACGACAGCGATAGAAATAATAGCAACAACAGGAACAACCACCACAACAGCAACAGCAGCAAAACGACACCGAGAGGCTCATCGTTGTCTTTATCGTCCAACAACGCGGTGCAACAATACGTTCAAAGCGACGAGAACGATCAACATCGTTATCGTCAGGAGGCAGACTCGAAAGCTCAACAAATGGAAATTGAAGAGTTTTATCAGGATCAGCAGGCTATCCCTGAGACCACTGACGCGCATCCTTACAACGAATACGCTTGGGAGGTGAACCAGATAAATCCTTGGCTGTCGGCCTGCGATCTGGCTGGTCCAGCGCCGGCCGATCTTCAGGGTACCTGTGGTCCACCAGAAGCTCCAAAGATCTGTCCAGGTCCATGCAAATTAAAATCGCAAGGAAACGAGCCCGAAGCTGGTTTCGTCCAAGTTATTAAGAAACTAAAAGCTATGGAGCAAAAATCGAGGGCAAGGAAGAAAGATGGTGATCGTGGTAACGATCTTCATAACGAAGCGAAGGAGCTGGCGAAGGAAAGGAAAAGGAACTACGAGGATAACGACGATAAGGATGGCGACGAGGTGAAGCGCGATCGAGCTAAGCCCGATGATGGCGAGCGGGCGGTTCCGGAACAGTGCCTTTTTTATCTCGAGGAGTCGCACAAGAGAGACATCTGTCGGGACGATTTCGGCCGGGCCAGTACGAGAAGTTTTTTAACCCCAAGGGAGAATCGATATTGGTTCATGAGTGGGTTGCGTCTGCGGCATTGCTGCGAACACGCGGTGGTCAACGCCCTGGCGCCTGGTAAGGGAGGCCCGCTCGAGGACGTGCTAAATGGCGGCCGGAAATGCGCCGATGCTTTGGAAAAGCTGTTTCTCGTCGACCAGCTCGCCGCCAGATTACACTGCGAGTTCGAGGAAGTCCTGGCGCGCTACGACTGTGCCCAGCCGTACTCGGTCATCCACAATTGCAACCACTGCAAGGTATAAAAAGTTCCTTCCGTGTTACCATTTTTTCATATGTTTTCTTAGAAAGAGTAAAAATCTAGCCTTTCTGAGAATCTCTATGGGAACGAACATGTCTACTTCCTTATACTAACATCTGTACGTTACTATAGATCTGGAAGATCTACAAGAATCATAAGATTTCAAGATTCCAGATTGATATATATATATATATATATATATATATATATATATATATATATATATTAGAGTTTCGCAATATTGCTAAATCTGCAACATTAACAAATAGCAGGAATTCTTCCAATGAAATGTTTAGACCTTTCTCTCGCTCTCTTTCTCTTCTTCTCTATCTATCTTGAAATTTGTAATTCGTCGAAGAAGACCATTCTTGAGGAGACCATTCGGTGTGGCCCCTTATCTATAATGATTGCGTCTACCCAGGCCGAATCTAATTTCCACGCTGATTGTGAGAATGGAAATCACCGGTGTGCCCTGGAAAGTGGCACTTCGTCGGCAAATGAATTAACGAACGGCTGTTTCTCGTTTGGCTGATAAAGACCAGTTTATAAATTGCTCTCCCGGAGTAACTCATTCAGCGAATGTCAGAACTATTTCCAATTATGCTATATCGACATGTCCGCTTTGCAGTTCGCTTTTCATATACATACCAGCATAGTATTGTCGACGTTGGCAATCGACTTTGGACACCAGAGATACGCACTTGTATACACGAGGCATCTTTATTAATAGCTCGAATTTTCATCGATTAATTTGTCATTCTTTTTGATATATTTGCCTTCTTTATTTTATTGTTACATGATCACTATAGGGTCATTTAAAATAAATTCAATAAATCACAAAGTATTGACATTTATTTGTCTACTCTCATTTCGATCATTATAAGTACCAACTTAAAATATACTTTTCTTTGTCACTTCGAAGATAATCTCGGCTTCCGATGATTCTCATTGAAAATTGACGAAAGCTCTTCGTAGAAACGTTATTGGTTCTGCCATAACAAAATCATCCATCGTCTATTTCAAGGAATACCTATGTCCACGTAAAAAGGCCAACATCTTTTTCGACATCTCGAAAATAAGTCGGCATTATAGCTTAGAGAATATGGCAAAGGTCAAGTCGAGATTCCTTTATCTTTTTCATCCACATGTCCTCCATTTTTGAAGGATCCTTCGTTCGAGAAAGTCGACTTGGTCCATTCTTAGAAAAGTAGACCGGTGCTTTTCTCTAAAGTGAATCGTCTCGAAGGAGACTAAATTTGAACTGGAGATTGAAATAAATAGAAAGAATCCGTTAGTAAGTTCTCATATTAAGGCACAGACATTACCGTGAAAAGTAGACGTTGCTCGATATCGATTTAAATGTATTCTTATCTTGATCCCTATTACCAGTTATTTTATTACCATCATCTTCCTCGTATCAATACATTGGTGACCCTATTGTTATATTTGTCAATATAGTCTTCTCTTATTAACATATATATATGTTAAATGTCTCACTTAGTGAGACGATCTTGTTACATATACCTAGTCTACCTACATTATTTTTCTAATTCCTTTTCGTAAAATTAATTTATACAAATATTCGTTAAACCGATCACATTAAAAATAAAAATTAAAATAAAACGAATACCGATCGTTCGTCGAGAAAGACTAGAATCGATTAATGACGTTGTTCGTTAACAAAACATTTGTATTTTCCTTTATCGTGGCTTTATGAGCATATCAGCTCGTTCGAACACGAGAATTCCTAGGTTATCGAATTTTCGTATCTAACACACATGAAAGTCACGAATGAAATCGACACCCGTGTGATTTCAATCACCCTGATATGCCATGCAGCTATCATTACGCAAATAGAAAATGATATATCGTTGATGTATATAAGTGTCCTTTTAACCGGGAAAATATTGCAATTAGTTTGATCTTCGTTGATCATTGACGATCGTCGATCGAAAAAGATCAAGAAAGCATTTATATTTTATCTTGTAAATTTCGAATTTTCCAATCTCTTAAAAAGAAAAAAAAAAAATAAAAATAAACAAATAAAAAAGAGAGAAGGAAACTATTTCCAAGTCGTGATCATTAAATTTTAATCGTTTTATTAATAGTCAAAATTTCAACGATTCTACGTAATTTATGAAATCGATCGATGACGATGACGAAGATGACAACGAGGACAACAATGACGACGATAACGACGAAGACGACGATGACGACGACGACGATGAAATGCTATGCAGAAGCTATTTATCGAGTTTCGTTGAAATTTATGCGAGATTAAGGTTCCGTCGATCGAGTTACAACGACATATCCGCTCGTTGTAATCTTGTGCCTCGTGGCATCTTACCCCCACTATCATCGTTCTCTCTCCTCTTTCCACGAAGGGCTCTGCAAGGCGACGGAAAGTCGTTCTAGTGCTGATGCGACGTAGTGGATTCAAGGAGGGAAAATAGGTAGATAGATAGATAGATAGATAGATAGATAGATAGATAGATAGAGAGAGAGAGAGAGAGAGAGAGAGAGAGAGAGAGAGAGGAGGGAGATAGGGTTAGATATAAACCAAGGTGGATAGACGTATAAGCTAGGTTGTGGCACCCTTAATTGAGATCATCTTACCACAAATAATTGCATCTATCTTCGGCTTGGCATCGGCCAACTTCTCTCCTTCTATCTATCTAACACATACGTAGATATACATACTTACACCTACAACATGTGATGGCCCACATAAAGTGTTGTTATGAACTGATTCTCATCTAAACCATTATTGAGATTGTCACTTAAAAGTTATATTTCTTTGCTTTAAGATAAGACATGGATTGAACGTATTTAATATGAAAAATATTGCATTGATGGCCAAGGTAATAATGAATTAGGTATTATCGTTATTTTTCATATATCGATCGAATTTAGAAAATTTCACGAGGTAAAAATAAGAGAATCTTATTTTCCTCTTTGTTTTCTTTTTCTTTCTTTCTTTTTTTTTCTTTAGATTACCATCTTCTTCTTCTTCTTCTTCTTCTTCTTCTTCTTCTTCTTCTTCTTCTTCTTCTTCTTCTTCTTCTTCTTTTTCTTCTTTTGCAAAATATTATTCAGAAAGGATCTTATGAATAGAATTAATAGTCATGTTCTATTTAAGAGCCATTGCCACGAAGCAGTCGTTATCTCTAACGTAGATTCAGGCGCTAATGCAAGAGATTAATCGATGGTCAAAGGAGCACAGGGCAAAGTTGGCTGGTTCATTAATCTCCGTTTTCGATCAGGCTACCGTATAGACAGACGACTGTTTACATACTAACGCTCTCTACGTTTGCCTGCTTCTCTTCGGTTGTCACACAATGAAAGCAATTGCAACGTTTGATTTCGACTATCGATAATCATGATTATACCTACCCACAATTCTCCTTTGTCTTACTTACAAGAATGTAAATCTAGTCAAATTGTTCGCAAATAGGTATTAAAAACCTTCAATGAGTATTATTTATATAATCGTTTCAATAATGTACTCTTCAATAAATATTTAAAAAAAAAGAAGAAAAAAAACAATAGAAAAGCGAAAAAATTCGCTGAATTTTCTACTTCATTTTGCGACAGAAAATTTAATGAAAAGTCATTCTATCTGTAAAAAAAAAAAAAAGGAAAAATGAAAAAAAGAAGAGAGAAAGAGAGAAAGAGAGAGAAAGAGAGAGAGAGAAAATAAAAAATGAAATACCTATCGTCAGTAGACAAAACTTCCAAATTTATTTTAAAAATCATTTTACCGAACGAATGAACGTTTCACTGTAGTTCGGAAAAATTGGTTGGAAAGTACAATCACTGTCGCTTTCATCGGTGAAAATATGATTTAGAAAAAAGAAAAAAGAAAAAAAAAAGAAAAAAGAAAAAAAAGAAAAAAAGTAGAGCGCAAAAAGTCGACGACAAGTTGATCCTTGTAAGGGTGAGACGAGGGGGAACTGGTCGGAGGGGTGAGAATTTCATTCGCATGGCTCGAACAGCTGCTGGTGGAACATCCGTATGGACCAGCACAGTTATTGGATACGTTTCAGAGCTTCCTCCCCAACTTTCTCTCTCTCTCTCTCTCCCTCTCTCTCTCTCTGTCTCTTTCTGTCTCTCTCTCTCTCTCTCTCTCTCTCTGTCTCTCTCTCTCTCTCTCTCTCTCTCGTGTAATTTCGCTACGGTGACAATTTCGCGTGTGTCCGCGGTCTAGCGGATTGTGAAATGTCATTCAAGGAACGAACGTGCAAGTGCAATTACAATATAACTTATTTCCACCTGATAATCGATCGTTCGATCGACCGAATTCCAAAATCTCTATTTTTCTTTTAAAACTTCCCTTTTCCTATTTTTTTTCATTTCGATTTTTAATAAATGAAAAAAAGAAAAAGAAAAAAAAGAAAAAAAAAAAGAAACAAAAAATAGATCTCATAAATCGTGAAGAAAGGTTGAAAAAAGAAGAGCTTAAGCGTAAAAACTAAACTCTCTTATATATATATTTCTTTAGCATAATCAATGTAAAAACGCCTTCCAATTACGTATCTCTGTAGCGGTAAAAGGGTTACAGTTTGCAGAAGCAACACTTTTCCTACGTTAGAGTTACGTTACCATGGATGAGCCAGTGCAGTGACACTAGAGTAGTTAATATCCCTGCGATCTGCACTTTTCTCCTCTCTACCATGAGTATATATGTATGTGATATTGTATATACCTATGTATACCTAGATATATATATATACATATATATATATATATGTGGATGTTAAAGTTGTAAATAATCGAACTATCGTTTCTCGTAAATTTGTCGATCGATTTTCCGATAAGTCATTCTTTTTTATCAGAGTTACATATTTTTTCTTTAAAGAGATAGAAAAAGAAAAAGAAAAAGACAAAAAAAGAGAGAGAGAGAGAGAGAGAGAGGAGAGAGAGTTGAGTGAATTAGATAAACACATTTATTTAGAATTTGTCTTCTTCGTTACGTAAACGATATCGTGTATACACCTA